CTGGCCAGGACGGCAACAAGACGCCGAGTCAGCACGCAGGGAGATGTGGTTGAGATGAGTATCTCCTCTCTCTGTCCTTTATTTCTAGGACTGAACATTTTTTAGGAAAGGGGGCGCTGGGAGGAGGAAAAAAAATCCCCTCCTCTACAGCAGGTGGCAGCATTGCTTTGCGTTTAACACACCCCGGCCTCCAGCACAGGTGGTGCAAATTTAGGCCCTGCCTTCCTCTGCCTGTGTGCGGTGCAAAGAAGCAGGGACAGACCTCATGCCTCTCTCAGTCCACTTCAGCTTTGGGTTTGGACCACCTGGACTCTGCTCTTGGGGAAGTCAGGAGGCGCGCTGTGGCCAGCTGCTCCTGGCGGGGGCGATGAGCGCAGGGCGCTCTGCAAGGCTGTTCCACCCCCGGAGCCCACGCTCAACGCTGACACCATTAGCCATCTCACTGTGATTCCCACGCAGCCAGCACTGCTCTACAACCTTTACACTTACTGCTGACTGAATCTTTACAGCAACCTCATGGGGCACGTGCTATTACTATGCCCATTTTACAGACAAGAAAACTGAGGCCCATGGTTTGACTAACTTGCCCAAGGGCACAGAGCTAGTAAACATAACAGCCAGTTTTGAAACCCAAGTGGCCTGGACCCGGAGGCTCTGACCCGCTGTACTACCCGGTTCCCCCACTCCCGCCCCCACAGCAGGGCCTGAACACTCAGCTGGGGGAGCTCTGATGCTACCGCTGTGGACTCACTGGGGACTCCTCAGGGTACAGTGTGGCGCTTTGTAATGACCAGAAAAGCAGGGAAAAACAATACTTCCTTTTAAAATGTGTCTATGAAGACCGTCCTGCTTCCCCTGTCTTCTTTGTCTCTAGTGCATTGATCTATGTAGACCTTCAGGAAGATCATCTTCAACATTTCCAGCCATTAAAAAACAAACAAACAAATTGTACTTGATCTACTTACTTAGGAGGATGGACGGACTAATACGTTTAAGTTTTAAAATGTCCGTAGTTGATATGCAAAAGGGTATGCGTCACATCTATCTCATCGCTTCTGTGATCTCGGATCTAGAACTGTGGCGGGTGCAGAGTAAGCGCCCCATAAATTCTCACTTGTTGAATGATTGTTATAGCTGAGAAAGAGCCAACCCTCTTTGCTTTCTGACTCATCGGGCTTTTACAAATGCACCGACGCGACGTGTCCCATTTCTGATTTTAATACAGGTTTAAGTTTTTGCCGGTGAAGCAAATAATGTTTTAAAATGTAAGATTACAATAAATAAATCACTAACCTGTCAATCTTCAAAGTCTGTCTGAAGACAAGCCTGGTTTATCTTGGCATCTGCATTGCCCAAGTTTCCTGCTACAGGAAGCGGCCCCGCCCCCCACAACCTGGCACAAATGTCATCCCCTGACCCGTCAGCGGTGCCCTAGTCACAGCTTGTGACATGCCACGCTTGCTTCCTGTCCTCTATAGGTTCGATCAGGAACAAGCCCTAGACCTGAAAGAAGGCTATCCGTCCACCAGCCAGCAACCCCTGGTACATTGAAATAAACTGGGTTAACCAAATGCTCTGTCTTAAAAATTTGAACTTAAGAATGTGGAGGGACAGAGTCCATCGGTGCTAGTTGGTGAAAATATCAGAAAGGTGACAGCGAAAGTTAGAAAGAATCAAACAGGAAGTAGAGGGAGCCTGTTGGTAGTAGGGCAAGACTAAAGAGATCCATAGAGTGTAAATAAGTCATATTAAAGCCAGAGTCCTAAAGGTGAGGATGCCGGGAGCGTAGGACGCCTGCCTTGTCTGCCGTCAGGCCCTCCCGTGCAGCAGGCCGAGGAACGAGCCCCCCGCGATGCCGCTGCTCTGACCCCTGGAACCTGTGGCTGCCGTACATCACTTGGCAACAGGAAGATGCGGGTTGCAGGTGGAATTAAGGTTGCCAGTCAGCTGATCATGAGATGGGGAGATTATCCTGAATCAGCTGGGTGGGCCCACTGTGATCACGAGGGTCCTTATAAGAGGGAGGCGGAAGAGGAAGAGTCAGAGAGGTGGGGGCGTGAGAAAGCCGGACAACGCTGGCTTTGCAGGTGGCAGGAGGGGGCCACGAGCCAAGGAATGCAGGTGGGCCCTAGGAGCTGCAAAAGGCCGGAAAATGTACTCTTTCTTTAGAACCTCCGGGAGGAACACAGCCTTACGGACACCTGGCCTTCGACCCAGCGAAATCCGTTTCAGACCTCAGCCCTCCAGAACCCTAAGGTAATGGTTGTGTTGTTTTAGGCCACTGCTTGGTGGAAATTTGTTACGGAAACTATCGGAAGTGAGCGCTCCTTTCATCTGACCTTTGTTCCTGCCGCCCTGGAGCAGTCTTCACATCACCCTTAGGAGGATGGAGCTTTGGGGAAAACAGGCCTTTCTCTCTCACACAAATCCGCTAGCACAGAAAGGCAGCAGCTTCTTCTGAGGCTGCAGCTTCCTCTCTTGCGGCACCTCCGTTTCTTTTAGCGTCATTGCTTAGGGCTGAGTCAAAACCAGCGGTTTGCCTTTTGGGTGCCATCCCAGTTGGGGATTGAAATGTACGCTGCCATAGCCAGTAATCGGATTTTTCTTTTTCTCTTGCCTCATCGTAGACTATTTAAAGCTGCAGGCCTTCCAGAAAGCACTGCCCTCTTGCAATGTGTCAGATGCTAATTGCCAGGAAAGGGTGGAGAGAGAGGCAACCATGAGGTTCCACAGTGCCGGGCGACAGTGGCAGATGGTTTGTGGTCTCAGCCCCTTGCGACACCCACCATCCTGTCTGATGCAACCCTGCTGATGCTGCGTACAAGGCGTTGCGGCAGGACTGGCTCCCGTTTGACCTACTTCCTCGTACTTGAGCACGGGCACTGGGACCTGGATGTTTGACAGCCACATATGCATTAAGTTGCATACAATTCTCAGCATGCAGCGACACCGAAATACGACCATTCCAGTGATGAGTTTTGGCGAGAGAAGGAGAAAGGGCTGAGAGGGAGGCGTAGCCCCGTTTTGACAGCGATCTGCCCACCAGCCTGCAGCCAGTCACGGCCAGTCAGGCGGCCGAGGTGGGGGGAGGTGGGGCGGGCTCTGGGACGCTGGCCCATGAGGGGAGGAACAGAGCGAACTTCTTTGGGGCCTTGTTTCCGGAACAAGCTGCAGAAGTGTGGGATCCTTTCAGCAGCAGGCCTGTCTCATTTTTTGCTTTCTTTTGAAAAATAAAATATCTCAAGTGGGCCCCAAGTACAATAGTAAGCATTTAATCCATTTATTTTGGATGTATGCCCTATTTACTCCCTACAAAATTCTTAAGTATTACGTAAGCAAACCATTAGAACACGGGGAATTTTAAATAAAGGCAATTAAAATAGCTACAAGGAAGCACCATTTTCTTCTATCAAATGATTTGAAAGGTGTCATGGGAAGGGTCCTAGGGCCTGCCGGGAGTGTCCAGGAGTTGGGGTACCCATTTTCCAGAGAGCAAACTGGCTTTCCGTACCAAGAGCCTTAAACATGTCTATATTTATACCCCTAAAATTATAGTTTAGAATCTGCCCTTTTTTAAAAACTCATCCTTTCAGTTTCCTCACCCGTAAAATACAAACTCTTTCACAGAGCAATGCGAGAAATGAATAACGAATAACGGGCATACAATGTGTGCCTGACAATTCTCAGGTATAATTGTTGAAGGAAAATAAAAATAATCTTTCCAGGTAAAAATTACTACCACATTGTGGCATAGAAATCCGGGGCATTGGTAAGGCCAGGTGCTTGAGGAAAACCTAAAAACTGTTTTAGGGAGAGAGCTTTGGCCCACCCACTTGCAATTCCCCCCCACCTCTCTCTCTCTCTCTCTCTCTCTCTCTCCCCCCCCCCTCCCTCTCCTCCCTCTCCTCCCTCTCCTCCCTCTCTCCAGTATATATTTATTATCTCATACTGTCTGTATTTCAGAAGGCAGAGTAGCTTGGCTGGTTTCTCAGTTTAGAGTCTCTCAGGTTCACGTGACTGCGTTGGGTCCACCTGCATAACCCAGGATCTCCTCCCAATCTTAATGTCAGCGGACTAGTACCTTAAAGTAACTCCATCAGCAAAGTCGCTCTTGCAGTTTGACATCATATACCTGGGGTGGGGGGAGGGGTGCTGGTGGAGCGCTCATTGTTCATCCTACCAGAGCAGGTAACAAAATGCCCATAAATCTTTCCTTATGAAACATTCAGCTGGTTAAGACACAGGTGAAGAATTTGTTTTATTCATTCAGTTCTGAAAATAGTTCTCTTAAAATGTCTCAAAGCTATGTTCATTGGAGATAACTAATTCAGACATATTGTCATTAAAAAAAAAGGTTATGGAATTCTTTGACAGAAGAACACTACGTGTTCTTTTTATGCCTTGCTTTTGGGCAAACTGTTCTCCTTAGGGAACATTCCAGTGGCCGTTGGTGCCTGGAATTGTGTGTTTACTGTGGGCTTATCAACTTTCCTCGCTGGGCCCTATGGGAGGACCAGGACTTGGGTCTATTTGAAGGTCTTGGAATGACAAAAAGGTCTTCGAAGACAGAGCCCGCCTGGCCACAAAGGGAAGGGCATTCAGGCTGGCTTTTGCTGGTCATGACTGGACTGTGCTTTGTACGGGCAAACCAAGGTCTTTTGTGAAAGAAATGTGGAGAAAAGACACAAGGCAATAGGAACCTTCAGCTTCAGAGCAGGGAGAGGAGAGCGCTGCAAGCAGTGTTTATGGGACAGAGACCCAGCTCCCGGGCCCGAGCGAGGAGGGGCGTTCAGAGTGGGGCCAGAGGCTGCGGGGGGACTGAGAGGAACAGACCCACAGGCCTGGGACCTGCCTCCAACAGGGTCTTTCATCGCTGCCCGCACCCTCCAGCCTCCACACACCAGGAGCCCTCCTGCCTCTCCCCCTCCGAGCCCTGGGCAGGACGCACCCGGGCTCTCTCTGTTCTGTGCCTGCCGATGGAAGACCCGCAGGGGCGACCCTCAGCCGCGGCACGCGCTGGCTCCGTCCACCTGCCTGGTGCAGACAGCTTCCCGCAGCTCCTCGAGGGCCTGTAAACCCAAATGGGGACCCTGCTAGGCCTGGGTCCGGCCACACCAAGGAAGACACAGGCCCTCCAGCTGGGACGAGGGTCCCTGGGACCCCACTCTCTTTGCAAGGTGCTACTGTTTCCCTGCTCTTCAAAAACATACCTGTCTTTTGCACATTCCACATCACCTGCTTTGTCCAGGGACAGCTACAAATAATTGTAGTGCTCTTTGCTCCGTAAAAGGGCGGGGAGGGGGGAATAGGAGCTAGATCTGGTAGTCAAGGTAACAAACACCCGCTGTCATCAGAATGGAGAGAATGCAGCTGGAATATAGATGTAGGGACTTTTAAAAGTCCTTCGAGCTTTGCCAGAAGAAATAACATAGGTATGTTTGGGTCTCTTTCTTCACATCTTGTCAAGTGACAGGGGGAAATGAAATCGGAAGGTTCCCATTGGGGCAATTGTTTAATGATGCATGAAATGATAAACAGCTGCCCTGTCTGGACGCTGGCTCAGGGGCCATTTTCTGGGCCAAGAGACTCTTCAGTTAAGGGCAGTTGGAAACCTGGTGCCCAGGCGGATGTTTCCCAATTAGAAAATGACTTTCTGTAACTGCCTCGGCAGCTGCCTTAGGCCTTACAGAGACTATTGATTGCCTTGTTGAGCCAAATTTTGCATTATGACAAATTACTTACTTACATATTATTCTAAAATTCTTACTTTTCAGTGCCTCATTCCTTCCATTAAAAAACTGTATGACAGAAGCAGATGTGACTCAGGGATCAAAAAGGACAATTTGTGCTCATCGCCCATTAGTAGAAAAAAATTCATACAGCCCATAAGCTAAGTGAAATTGAGCCAGCGAAAAATAGAGGAAAATCGAGCCATTATTTGGACCATTGCAAAGAAGCCCATGGTTCTCACCAAAGTTTTAAAAATGGTGCTAAGTGGCTTAGCTGAGCTTCTGAGGAAAATGCCAACTGACCCCGTAAAGTTTCAGCTCCAGGGAAATGCAGCCAGAACCGCATTCTGGAGAGGCCTCTGGCTTCTGCAGAGTCTGCTCATGTCCGCTTTCTGCATCTGCACCCAGGGAAGACGTCACTGGTTTAGATTTCCCCAGCGATCCAACAAATACCGCGAGGCGCTGAGCAAATGTCATCCCGGAGAGCCAGGCAGCCATTTCAAGTTTGACGTGACACTTTGCCAAAAATAACCTGATTCGTCTCATGCTCCAGGGGTCGGGAAACATCCTGTCCGGTTTTTACGAGAAGCTGGGTGGGAGCTCTCTCCAAAGAGGCCAGTGGCCCCAGGACCCGGAACTCCAGCCTTGTCTGCGGCCCACACGGTGTGAGGGGCCGGTGGTGAAGGCGCTGGGGCTGCTTTTTCGAGCCAGTGATGCCCAGCGAGGGCGGAGGCGGCGGGGGCAGCATGGAGTGACCGGACCCTTCCTCTCCACGGCCCTTGAGAGGCTCCGCACGAAAGCTCGGGCAGGTCCAGCGGTCCCTCCTGCCCTTTGAGCCAAGAAAACGGCCACAAAGCACCCGGCCCCATGTAAGAATCCCACTCCAGGCCAAACGAGTGAGAACAGTACTGGGTCAGGCCTGACACCCACAGCGGGGTGGGGAGTGGGGACTGTGATCAGCTGCTTCTGCCCCCCATTCCCTACCCAGCTCGCCCGTGGAATATCCCTAAATCCTGATTCAGACGGTGTTTTGTTCAATGTAGTATATGGAGTCAGATTTTCAAGGGCACAGGCTCAAGGTGCATGAAGCCAGACACGGGAAAGTGAAGCTCTGCCTCTGGGCAGGTGACAGTTAAACAGGGACGCTCTCTGAGGCCTGCGGCCTGGGGACATTTAATTCCCTTGCGATGTATCAGGGACAACACTCTGCTCCTTCGGATTCCAAGCAGGAAATGCCAGCCCCCAGTGAAGTGGCTTAGAAGGCCCCGCCCCCTGGCCTCACCCGGGCTTTTGTCACAGCCGAGGGAGCAGGCTGCACGCACAGTGACCTGAAGGCGCGCAGTGGACAGAGCAGAGAGCGAGCGGGGCTGGCATCCAGCTGCTCCGGGCAAGGCCGCGCAGTCCTTGGCGTTACGTTACTCCCAGCCCTGAGCGCGAAAGTTAGACCTTTTGAGTAAATGCGTATCTATGATTACTGCCCCCCAATAAGCTGCAGGCATTTTATCAAAACCGTGCAGAAGCAAATCCCCCCGTGACTGAGTGTTCATTATCATTATCATCGTTATGACATGAGCGAATTACCCAGCATATGTTCCGGGAAGGGGAGACTCTATGTTGCATAGATATCCGCTTTCCTGAAATGCTAACCAAAACCTAAAATAGTTTATTTGGGGTGGGGGAATAAAACAAACTAATTTTAAAGATGATCAGAATTATTGTGTAAAAATAAAGGCGAAGAATGGCTGAAAAGTAGCGGCTAAGGATGGCAAGGATTGGAACTTGATACGCCAAGCGGATTAAGATGCGACTCCGGTTGGAATGAGAGTGTGGCGCCGGCCTCGCGCAGGCCGGCGGGGTGACGCGAACGGAGCAAAAAGCGGGCCGGACCGGGGACAAAGTCTAGCGGGCACTGAAGGCGGCATTTCAGCCCGGGGGGCAAGATTCGGGGCATAGTGGACGAGGGCACAACTGCCCAGCCTTCCAGAAAGAGTTGAATTTTGGAACCACGCCTCCCTTGGAAACCGGAAAAGCCGGCATCTGTGCCACGGGTCACCACCAGGCCCGATAAGCAGAGAGAGGGGCTGGATCTCTCTGGGCGCTTTATTCAGCGCCCGTGATAAGACAGGCAGGTTTGTACCCTAACAGACCACCTTCCGTTTCCTTTCAAGCCAGCCTTTGGATGGGGGGAAAAGCGCAGGGAAGGAGTTAGAATTCAGGAAAGAGGTTTATCAGGCAAGAGCTGCAGTCTGGCGATTTCCCTACTAGCATCCTTTCATGCACTGAGTGGTAGTTCCTTATCTGTGTCCTGGGTGATTCTTTACCCATGTCCTGGGCAGTGGGACATCTCTCCCTGGAACCAGTGGCTCAGAGACCTTCTTGATGGCTTGCAGCCCTCCCAGGGCACAAAGGTCGCAGGAATTGCTTGGGGTCTCCTGGAGTTGGGGCGGGCCGCTCCTTCAGTCCTGCAAACCGTTGCTTTTTCCATGCATGAACTACGAAGCTTGTTAACTATTACCTAAAACTACAATTCTCCAGCTCTTGAGCTCCCCCATCCAGTCGCCGCACTGTTATTGGGCAGAGGCCTGGCCCAGAGCAGGTCTGCCTGGGGCCAGTGCGGCATGTGGGCTCTGGACTTCCTGTCGAGAGGATTTCACAAGACGCGTCAGAGGTGCCTAGGGTGTGCTTACTGAAGCCGGGAACAGTGAGACAAGGGAGGGCTTAGCGTAGAAGGAGCAACAGGAGAGCGCAGGCCGGGCTGCCTTAGCCCACTGGGAAGTCAGACAGGGGGCCTTGGGGACAGGTTCAGGGGTCAGCCTGGGACAAGCTGCCAGCGGCCCACTGTAGAGTTTGGGGGGAAGGCTGCTCCCCAGAGGGAGAGCGCAAGTGCGCAGGTTCCTTTGTCTTGAGTTTTGATCTCTCTCTCTGGGGGGCCTCGGGGGGTCTCGGGGGAGTGGTTCAGCAGAGCACTCACCAGTTCTGCAGAGTGCACCCTTTCCGGGTCGTGGTCTCTACCGATGAGCCCGTGGCTGCTGGTGGTGGCGTCGCCCGCCTGGTTCTGCTGCTTTTCTGGGCCTGGAGCTGACCCACACCGGAGGCCTCGACGCCGTCTCTGGGGAGGCGGCCTTCTGTTTTTAGCTGTGAGTTGCTCGGCTGCTGGGTTCTGCTCTCTGCCCCGGTTTCCCCACTCCGCTTGCCCAGGAATGTGTCCAGCTTCTTCCTATCCTGCCTCAATACTCAAGGAATTTTGAGAGAAGTCAAAGATTAAAATGTAAAATAAGTAAAATATAGATCAATAGTTACATAATATTGGGAGTAATAGAGTACTTATTATGCTTCGCAATAAAAACCAAAAATATAAAAGAATAGATTGATTGTAACCGGCATCTTACCATTTTCCCTTACCCCAGCCACTGGTAACCCTGATTCTGCACTCTATTGCTGGAAACTGGACTTTTTTAGATTCTAAATATAAGTGAAACCATGCAGTATTTTTCTTTCTGTGTCTGGCTTATTTTGCTTATCATAATTATTGTCTGCTAGGTTCATCCACATTAAGCCATGTAGTGTACATGTACCGCCTCAAATTTAAAATCTTCTGAATGAAAAAAAAAAATTTTTTTTTAAAGAACAATGCAAGCAGGCAGTACAGTGAGAAAATATATGTATACACCTTCTTGCTTTCACAAAACACTTTTTAAAGTGGAGAAATGAAATTCAACCTTCAGTGCTAGCTCCCTCAGCCAGGCTCCTACCCCCTGTCCCAGGGTTCCAAAGCGCACGACCTAGGACCCCGGAAGCAGAAATGGTCTTCTCCTGCACGATTGTCAGCGCAGCGGCACCGCGCTGAGTGTTCCAGAAGTGCGCACAGCTCAGGGCTCGAAGACGCCGACACATAAGTCTTTTGACTCATTTAATCCCTTCCACATCTATTAATTTTAAGACTTGCACCTTGGCCCTCTGGGTACTCGGCTAAAACGGCTCCTTTTTCTGCAGTTTTCTTAGTTTCCCTTTTGGCAGTTCATAAAGGGTGAATTTCTTGTGGTTTTGGCTGTGTAGAAATTTCAAAAAGTTTTGCATAGTGAATCTGTTCATGTTTTCTTTCGGGTTTCCCCTTTCTGCTTAAAAAGATCTTTCTCATCCCAAATTTTTATTAAGATCCTATTTTTTTTAATGTATTTTCAAGTTAGACCTTTAAGAATCTGAAAATTGTTATGTGTTGTGAGGCAGATAATCCCATTTTTTAAAGGTAATACATTGTATAAATGTGTGCTTATACACATATACGTTGCAAAATGATTCTTTTTTTCATTGGGTGGTAGCCTTACAAGGGAGACTTTTTTTTCTTCTCAGGTTTAGTTCTATTTTAAAATATTCCTATACTAAGTATGTCTTATAAAAACACATTATAAGCTACTTTTTTTTTTTTTATTGTAGAGAGAACGAAAGGGAGGGAGAAAGAGAAGGAGAGAAACATCGACTGGTTGCTTCGGGTATGTGCCCCGACTGGGCACTGAACCCGCAACCCAGGTGTGAACGCTGACCAAAAATTGACCTGGCAACCTCTCTGTTGGCAGAAGTCACCCAACCAACTGAGCCACACTGGCCAGGGCATATAAGCTGTTTTTAAAAAGGTCTATACAAGATCACTTAGACTCGAGGTGTATACTACCCATGGGGGTATAATAAAATTGGGCTTTAAGCGTATTTCATAGTTGTTCAAACATCTAGGTGTACGTGGTCCTCTGCAGTGTCTCTAAGGTACTCTCGTTTTCCTTGAGTGTGATTTTTCCCAGTTTATTCCCTATCTCAAAGTGACACCACCCTGTTACTCAAACCAAAAACCAACTTATTAAAAATTTAAAAATACATGTCCTTTTTCCTCTAAGGAATATTTCAGGGACAAGCATGAGTATTAATAGGCTATATGTCACTAGGATTTAATTTTATTTTTTACCTTGCTTTATAATTATGGGTATATTCATTTTTAATGAATTTACTTGTTGTCATGTTATAAATAGCCTCTTCTGGATTAACTGTGTGATATGCTAGTATATGGCGTACGCTCAAAGAAATGAACTCCTATTTAATCACAGATAAATTTTCTTTTTTTCCAGGCTGGAGAATATAGCATATACTTCACAGGCAAGGTTTTCTTATTCCTGCTTAAAATCAAACTGAGTTTCAGAGAGAAGGATACAAGCATCCCAGTTTATTTAAATCAATAGTCAACAAAATCATCTTGCCTGGCGTATTTTATCTTTGATTTAAATAATGTTACTAAATGATATGCACAAACCTGATGTAATGTATATTTTCTGACTTTCTCTGGTGATAAGATAGATGTATAAATTTAGACCATTTCACTTCGCTGTTTAATTGGCAGTGATATTTTAGACTGGAGTTGACTGCATCTAAGTGCTATGTCATATATGAAACAATTTATGCCATTCTAAAATTGTTGGTGATCTCAAAATGCTCTTTTACCTTCCCCTTACCAAACACTAACTCTTAAAGCCTCCAGTTCTACCATGTGCATATGTGGCTTTGCAACGCGGTTGAGTAAGCGCGACTGTATTTTCTCAGCAGGCTAGCTCCGAAGCATGTCAAATGCAGCCTCCAGCCTCTGGGGTCAGGCTTTCTGAGATGAAGGTCCATATAAGTGAGACACCATACCAGTTTTCTAAGAGCCTGGGTAATAAATTCAGACAAGTAAATGTAGGACTGAAGTTAATCTTTTATTCCCCAAAGTAACCTACAACTGAGATGGTTGGCCCTGGATAGATTTCCATAGAAACACACAAACGTTGAGAACGTGGATGCATGACTTTGAAGCCATATGAAGCAAAACCCCACCGAGGACTTTGAAATGTTATCTTATCACTTAGAATGGATGCATGAAAAAGCCAGTTATAGGATAAATCTTTTCTGCAGAGGATTCTAACATTTTTCTTTTTAGAGGAAACGAGCTCTGAAAGAAACTTTCTAGCTCATCATTGAAATCCAAAAAACCCTCGCCAACGATTCGGCAACCAGTTCCTAACAATCACCCACTTCTCTAAGGAGCAAGGATTACAGAGAAGATTCACATGAGAAGACACGAATGTTTCCACACAGAACCTGTACGGCGTATGGTATGTACGCTCAAATAAATGAACTCCGATTTACAAGAACTTGAACAGCTTGGTGGAATTCAGAAATACGGCATGGCCATCCAGTCAGACTCTCCAGCTACGTTCTGAGCAGGGCTGCTTTCTAAAGCACACTGTGCTCATTCACTTCTTGGTAGCAGGAAGAGGAACAGACGTGAAACAGGACGGGAAGGCGTGCTGCTCCAAACACATTGCAGGACTGGATGACGCGGTACCCCTCCCCGAACCTCGGGCCTTGACACCATTCGCATTGGGATGCGCTGCAAGGGAAGGAGCATGCTATCAGTCATTAGCAGACTTCTGCTGAAGGACAGACATTCGGTTGATGCTATGCCAGACTCAGAGTGGTAGGACATACGGCCTTTATTGTCATCGATCTTACCGTCTAATTGAGTAGCTAAGACACATACAAGTGAACAATGAAATGCTAAAAAAAATAAAGGAGCCCTGACTGGTGCGGCTCAGTGGGTTGGGTGTTGCCCTGCAAACCGAAAGGTTGCTGGTTCGGTTCCTGGTCAGGCAACATTTGAAGAAATGTGTGTGTGTGTGTTGATGTGTGGTACGTGGTGTGGGCTGTCTGTGTGTGTTCATAGTAAAACTGTCATCTGAGCCTGTAGTGAAGAACATTTTAAATGCTTAAAAGTACATTTTGGCTCCAAGGGCTTCATAATTTGCTTACCACTTTAGTAACACTTGAATTTTCCCTGGGATTGCATCATAATATTTCTGTAGATTATTTTTTAGGAAGAACAACGAAGCAAGTTGAACAAGACTCTGTGGACTATTCAAAGAATTCTCTTTCCAAAGACAAGGATAAGTGAAGTTATTCTCAAATTGGATTTTTTTCAGGTTAAGCTTCAAAATTCCAGGTGGAAAAGATGTCAAGTCATTCCCATCAACAAACAATCTTTTAAGTGATCTGCAAATTAAGAAAACTATGCTTTAAAAGGTATTTCTGTAATTTATAATATTGAAGTAACATTCTGTCCCAAATGTTCCTTAAAATTAGTATTATAAAACTCAGTAACAATAAAAGTGTTTAAGTACTTCCTTAGAATCAAGAGAATTAATTTAAAAAGCAAGTGAACCAATATATTATTATGCCAAAAGTTCATTTGTGTGAATAGTAGAATTAAGCATGTATTTTGGGTTTTTGCAACATGTCTCTACCATACAAGAAGAAACAATCACACACATAGCAAGATGAATGAACGTTTCACTCATAAAATATAATATACATGGTATAATGATACAAAGAAAGAATTAATTTTCATAGACAAATTGAACATCATTACATATTTTTCTAATTTAAGCCCAATCAAAACAGTGAAATTAACACTGCCACAATGTGTTATGTGCTATGTTTAATTTTGACTTTGCATTGCCAAGTCCCCTTGGTCTTTACTGTGTCAGTTGCTTCTAAGAACTCTTCTTCCTTTATTCAAAGAGAACGAACTTCACTGATTTTCTCATTTTTTAATCACTTGTCTTGATGATGTTTCTCTATGGTCACTTATCTCCCTTCTAACTAGTGCTGAAAAACAGTCAGGAAAGTGTCTGTTCACGGGCAACATAAAAATCAAATCGAAAGCTGATCCAACTTGTCACATGCATTAGGAGAGAAGACACTGATATAACCAACGGGCTGTGGATTTTAAGTGAAAAGACTTTAGGCAACCAGCAGCTGAGGGCCTACAGATTCTCATCTTCATTCTAATTTCACATCTCTTCCCCACACAATGTAAGTGCTTTAAGACAACGGGGCCGAGAAGACGGTACCGCGGCTGGCTTCCCCCCTCAGCCACGTTCGACGACTGCGCCTCCCACAGCCTGGAAGGCTGAGCCAGGCCCCGGCCTCTGCTTGGGCCCGGAAGGAGGCGGCCAGCACGGTCACTCTTTTCCTCTACAGCCAAGGCGAGCGAGGGGCCGGAAGCAGAGAACCCTGCGGACAGTCAGTAAGCCTGCCGCCCTCCGGAGACAGCCTGCTGAGCGTCCCCAGGGACGAGGCTGCCCTGCCTGGGTTGGTATGTCCGAGGGGCCCCACCAATATGGGTCCACCCTTCCTCGCAATAAGTTCGCAATAAGTTCTAGGGGAGCGCAGTCGGTTGTATCCTTTTTAAGGCCAAAGAGTTGGGTGTTTTTTTAAAGACAGTATTCATTTATTTTTAGAGGGAGGGCAAAGGAGTGAGAAAGAGAGGGAGAGAAACGTTAATGTGGAGTTGCCTCTTGCACGCCCCTGCTGGGGACCTGGCCCCCAACCCAGGCATGTGCCCTGACTGGGAATCGAAATGGCAACCTTTCAGTTACGCAGGCCAGCGCTCAATCCACTGAGCCACACCAACCAGGGCTAAAGCTAGGCAGTTGTTAAAGAGCTGCAGGTTGAGACAGCTTTGCACCTGAGCAGCCTGAGGAGCAGCGCAGTCTGCCCCTGCTCCACCCGCCTCCCTTGGAGCTCTGAGGAAAGACGAGAAAGCAAACAAAATGCAGCACGGTACTCCTGAGGCAGTCAATTCCTTACTTCTCTGTCTTCACAACTTCTCTGTGGGGACGGAGAAGAAGCTGGGGCAGGAGAAACAATACGATTCAAATAGAGCGCGTGCACACACGCGGACTTTCTTGAACCGAAATACATGATTTGTAAAACTAAAAAATGAAGTGGATGAACTGAAGAGGAATGTGGTGTTCACAGAGATCTGAGTTAGTGGCAAAGACAAGTAGAAGAAGTAATGGAAACAGAGCAAAAACGTATTTAAAAATCACAAATGCCGGAGAGCAGAGAAGGGCTGGAGGGGAAGCAGCCCCCGATGGCCAGTGCCTTCATCGGTCCGCCCATGTGACAGAGCCTCCGCAGACACCCAGAGCGGGGGCTCCCAGAGCTCCCGGGGGGTAGGGACCGGAGCACCGCACTGCGCCGCTGTGTTGAGTGGTGCACCCCATCAGGACAGGAGCTGCTTTGTCCAGCCCCTCACCCTGTGCATCTCCTCATCTGGCTATTGATGTGTGTTTTTTCATAGATGTGCTTTATATAAATTGGTCATCTAGAGAGTAAGTAGGTTTCCTGAGCACTGGGCGCTGCTCTAGCCAATGAATTACGCCCGAGGAGGTCGCAGGGACCTCTGTCTTTACAGCCAGACAGAGGCCCAGGCGACAGCTTAGCTTGCTTCTGGCATCTGAAGTTGGGGGCCGTCTAAAGGGACTGAGCCCTTAACTTGTGGGATCCAACGCCTTCCCCAGGTGGATAGTGTCTGAATTGAGCCGAATTGTAGGACGCCCAGCTGGTACCCAGGAACTGCATGGTGTGCCCCCCACCCCCACCCCGCCAGAGTGGAACTGGGTGTCAAACAAGTTTTGTTTTGTTTTTTAAGAGACACACCCTTAAGCATAATCTGATAAAATTCCTCAAGGTCAAGGATAATGAGAAAAATCAATCTTTCCAGATAAAAATAAGAGCCCCTTAAAGAGGAAAAGACATTAAACTGGCCTCAGGTACCTCGCCTGCAACTCGGGAAGCTACGGGAGGGTGTAGGGGTGGAGGTGGCTTGTGCAAAGGGGCCCATGTGAGAGGCGCGCCCCCCCAGCCCCGTCCCCATGGGAGAAGCTGTTCTGTTTACCAAGCTGTGAGATCTAAGGGCTAAAGAACAGTCTTCCAATAAGGAGACAGAAGGGAAGGAACAATGCTAATGAGAATCTGAAACAGGTTCCTAAACTGTCTCAGCAAAATAGGTAATTAGGTAAGAGGTGAGGAGAAAAGCAGGAAACCAATGAAAATGTCCTAAGATCCCCACTGCTGGCGAGGGGATGCACAGCCCGTGACGCGGGGACAGTAGCTTCTGTCTTGCTTTTATGAAACAGTGAAGAAACATGAAAGGAAAGACAGCTATTAACAGACTGGGGAATTACAGTTGAGTTCCAAAATTAACAAGGAAGAAAAAAATAACATTCTGACAGAATTTTTTAAAAAATACATATATATGAAAAGGAGAAAGTAAATAGATAGCACATACAAAGTAAAATGGAAGACAAAAAATAAATATATCAGTCATAACAAATGTGACCAGCTTCAATTCCCCTATGAAAGTACAGAGGTTGCCACATGGGAAATTAAAAAATTAGTATAAATATTAGGAAAGTAGAGACAAAATTATCTAATTTTATTGAAGATAAGCTTATGCTTCCTGGAAACCAAAGACAATCTAGTAAAACTCAACTGAAACTAATATGATAATTTGGTTACAGAAATTGATTTGAAATTAATGTGAAGAGTTACACAGTTTTTCCTATTCTGTACTGACAATAGTCAGCTAGAAATAAAACTTAGAGAAAATATTGCATTCCCGGGGCAACACAGTTACAAAATACTCAGGTTAGTAAGAGATATAAAGGGCAGTGAGTCACAGATTCTTATAAAGAACATAAAATAAGACCGGAACAAATGAAAAAATACAATGTTCTAGGACAAAAGATTTATTACCAGAAACATGAATTTCTTCAAAATTTATAAGTAAACTCAAGGCAATTCCAAAAAATATCCCATATTGTGTTTATATGTTTTGAGTGAGGAGGGGATTGGAATTATATCAAATATCTTAAAAATTGTAATCTAAAGAGAATAGTTGAGACTATTATTGAAATCTAATCTTCCTAATAGTTAATAAAAATTATTCTAAAGTCATAATCAAAATAGTAGAGTACTGACCTAGAAGAATATCAATAAACCTCAGAGAATTTTTAAAAATTAATGTGAGGAAGAAATGGAGCTTAGCATTAAAATTACATTGTGTATTATTAGCATTTTTATATGTAGTTCCTTACAAAAAATAAAACTTATAACTATAGGTACACACATGAAAAAATGGACAAAAGTAACTTGTCTTTCTATTAAGTGGTCATCAGTATTGTCCATTAAATGATTACTGATAAGGTTATATCCTAAAAATAATGTGCGCCAATCATTCGAATTACATTTTGGTAAATGATATGCTTTACATATATCTTGTGGTTATTCAATAATGAATGAACTCAATTTTCCCCATCAAATCATCACCAAATATATCCATCAGGAGTAAACGATTTTGTGTGTACTTACTACTTTCAAAATACCTGAGTTGCTGGATTTCATTTGGAATAAACTCAATACTGTTGTAGGAAATATTAAGTTCCTCAAGAGAGAACAAATAAAATAACCTTAAACAGAAAGAGAAAACGAATTGTAAAAATGGTTATCTGTCATAACTAGGCATAAATAAGGCTGTTTAAAGGTTTGTCAATCTTGTTTATCCTTTCAAAGAGCCAACTTTTAGTTTCAATGATATTTTGTAGTTTTTTAGATACTTATTTCTTCTATTTCTGCTCCGATCTTTATTTGTTTTCCTTTCTCCTACTCACTTTGGGATACTTATTTCTTCTATTTCTGCTCTGATCTTTATTTGTTTTCCTTTCTCTTACTCACTTTGGTTTTTGTTCATTGTTCCTAAAAGTGTAAAGTGAGATTGTTTATCTGTGCTTTTTCTTGTTTCCTGAGATAGGCCTATAATGCTATGAATTTCCCTCTAAGGACCGCTTTCGCTGTGTCCCATAGGTTTTGGGTTGTTCGGTTCTCATTTCCATTTGTTTTAAGGTATCTTTTGATTTCTTCCTTGACCTCGTTGCTAACCCAGTCATTGTTTAGTAACATGCGATTTAGCATCCGTGTCTTTGTGGTCTTTTCAGTTTTTTCCTTGTGACTTATTTCTAGATTCATGCCACTGTGGTCACAGAAGATGCTTGATATGATTTCAGTCTTCTTAAATTGAATGAAGCTTACTTTATATTTTAAAATGGAGAAAATGTTTCATGTGCAATTGCAAAGAATGTATATTCTGCTGCTCTGAGGCCAAATGCTCTGAAGATAGCAATTAAATCCATCAAATCTAGTGTGTCATTTAAGGCCACTGTTTTCCTTATTGAGCTTCCGTCTGGAAGATCTAACCTCTTCCCAACTCAGCGGCTCCGGGCTGCGGAACTTAGCTTGGGGTTGAGACCCCATGCTTCTCAGAGGGAACCCCCAAAGCAGAGGCCTCCCTCAGGAACCTCAGCTGCAGCCCGTGGGAGTGGGGCCAACCCTTGTCACGTCTCCGCCCTCCCTACCAGTTTGGATATGGCTTCTTCTGTAAATTTTTTGTTATAAGACTTCTCTTCAGCTAGTCTTCAGTTGGTTATTCAGGGTGCTGGTTCGTTAACTTAGCTGTGATTCCAGCTTGGTCCTGGGAGGAGGTGAGGGTACCTTCCACCTGCTCAGCTGCCATCTTGGATCCACTTCTGACATCTTTCTTATTGATCTCTTCATTCATAGCCCTTAGGGTATTTTACATTTATATATTTACTGTGATGCTTGTTTAAAATCCCTGTGTCCTGTCCTGGATTCTAATCCCCATAGGGAAATAATACTGCCCTTCTTACCAATTAAAACCCAAATCTTAACAGAAAGCCTGGCATTACATACTCAATAAATACACATTTACATAATTGAATTATTTTACTCTTAACTAAAAATCTGGGCGTCAACTTATTTTTTACTTCCGCGTTTCCATTCCCTACATCCTCTTATGTCTAATCAATACCTGATCTTGCAGATTTTACTTCAGTTTCTTAGCAGTGTGTTACTCCCTCTCTGTGCCCTCATTGCCCTAGATTTCCTTTCCATCTCTTGCCTGGACTACTGTGCCCCCCGCCCGCTGGTCGCCTTCAGTTCTGCTGCATCGCCTCATGAGGCTCCTCCCCTCCTTGGGATATGCTTTAATGACCCCTCGCGGCAGATAGCATACAATACGAATTCTTTGCCTTGGCTCCCAAGCCCCCTTATAAGCTGGTCCCTGTTTACTGTGCCATTCGCATTCCTTACCACTTGGCCTTGCTTGCTAAGCTTCCAATCAGAGCACATGGCTGTGAGTCCTATGCTACGTTATGCAGGGTCCAGCAGAAGTAACCCTGCTGGAGTGTGGTTGGTAGGGTAATAATATGGGTGCAATAATTTATAGTTTTAACTTGAACATTTCACCTAAAATGTCCTATGGTGTGCTTGAGGGTGATATTGTTATGTTACAGAAAGACATGCTTATGATTTTGTAATAAAAGATTTTGCAATAAGAAAGGGGCATTATTTGTGCCGGCCCCCGGTAAATGCTGCTTCACATCTCTTTTCTTTATATGTATGTTTTCACTTTTATTTAAAGAACTATCCACCCCATAATCAGCCCAACACCCCTTGCTCTTTCTCAACATTAATCTGGCCCACTCACTCTCAGCTACATTCAGATCAAATTTCCTCTCTCCCAAGGAGCCACCTCTGACTCTCCTGACCAGGGGGTTACAGGCCACTGTTTGGGATTTTATCATACAGGGTGCATCGCTGTAATTTTACTTTACTCAGTGGCACTCAATTGTCTGCCTTCCCCCTATGTGTAGAGCTTCAGGGAGCACACAGTAGATACTGCATAATCATCTACAGAATTAACTACAAACACAAAAATATAATACTTGAAGTATACCAGTGCAATTGCTTGTAACAGCAATGACATTCAATTACATGATTATTTGCTTCCCTGCATTTCGCTGAGTTTTATCCGGTCCCTGCTCCCTCGGTCCTGCCGCCCTGTGTCGGGTCTTCTCTGTTCAGCCGGCTAGAGTCCTGGTAACGCCCTTTAATTCAGTGCCTGCTTCCACTCTGCGTGAGTGTCTGCCACATGAGTTTTCACGTAACCAGCTCTGCAAATGAACATTTTTACCTGCATCCGAGTTCGCCCGAAGTCTTCTCTGAGGTCAATGAAGTTTTTAATAACTATTATTATATGATTGTTCCCATAATTCCAACTTTGTTTTTAATTCTCAGTTTCAGTATGCTGTCTGCACCCCTTGGTATGCATACATATCCTATGGCATTTAATAAAATGCACTGTTTTATATTAGAAACACTAATATTTTGGCGGAATAGCTCCTTAAAACTTTTAAAACAATTTTTTATTTTCCAGTGACCGCTGACATACAATATTATATTAGTGATTGAACATTATAGAACTTAGTAAGCGGTGACCCCAACGAATCTAGTACCAACACAACAAGGTACGGAGTTACTGCAACGTTACTGACGACATGCCCTGTGCTGCACCTGCAGCTCCCGATGTGTCCTTCCTGTCCCCTCCCCCGTCACCAGCCCTCCAGCCCCACTCTTACCTCTCACCCAGGCCTCCGAACCCCTCCCCTCTAGCAACCCCCAGTTCTTTCTCTGCGTCTTTGAGTCTGTTTCCATTTTGTTTGTTTATTTTGTTGTTTAGATTCCACACATCAGTAAAATCATATGGTATTTGTTTTTCTCTGACTGACTGACTTCACTTAGCATAATACTCTCTAGGTCCATGCATGCTGTCACGAACGATAGGATTTCCTTCTCTTTTACAGCTGAGTAGTGCTCCACTGAGGGGCCCTTGGGCTGCTTCCACAGTTTGGCGATTGTAAATAATGCTGCAACGAACATAAGGATGCTTATGTTCTTTTGAGTTAGTCTTTCGGGTTTCTTCGGATAAATTCCCAGAAGTGGAATCGCTGGGTCGTAAGGCAGTTCCATTTTTAATTTTTGGAGGTAACTCCATGCCGCTTTCCACAGGGGCTGCACCCGCCCGCATTCCCACCCACAGCGCACGAGGGTTTCCCGTTCTCCACACTCACCAGCCCTTGCCTTTTGTGGATTTATTGATGACCGCCCTTCTGACAGGTGTGAGGGTTCCTTAAAACTTTTGTTTATAACCAATAATTTGAACTAATTTGCCTAATTTCTAAACAATGAACAATGTTGACCATGTATTTATGATCCAGTTTTAGCTGCTTTAGGAATTTTTACATTTTGTTTAAGTGAGTTATCGTTTAAATGAGTTATAGTTATTTAAAGTATTTAATTATGATTATAGATTATCCAGCATTAATTTGTTTAGATGCATATATGTACATATGTGTAATGTGTAAGTATATGTAGTTGTGCGTATATATATATGAAGGTGTTTGTGTATAAATATACATGCACAAATAATTATAGATACATGTGTACAAAGATTAGTACATACACATATTACTTAACTCTGTGCAGTGAGAGTATCTACAAACAATGTCACCCCAATAGCAATGGGGTCATTTAGTATCCAGATACGGGTTTTTAAATACCATTCTTTAATAACAAGAAAACAGAGATTCCTTAGGGAAATGGCTGATTCTAGTACTGAGGCAGGGAAAATACAATATATGTTACTGTGGAAAAATACAGATGAGTCAAACAGAAATAAAATTCCCATAATGCAATCTTCCTACTTCCTTAATGTTTAGTCTGTCTTTTTATATATTTTATATATAATGTGTGATATATATGCACATTTTAGACAGAAATGGCATAATATTTACATACCTTTTTATTCTTGGAAACATCTAAATAGTTTCATGGTTTATGAATGTAGAATTTGTTGGATTGTTAAGTACAAACAATGCTGGATGAACAACTTTATATATGAATTTTGATGTACTTCCTTAATTACTACAAGAAACTTCTTTTGCAAAATGTAGCTCAATTGCTTGAGTCCCTGTCCCTTTGTCCCTAACCTACATTCAATTTGTTAAACTTTTGCTGGAAGAGGTATCTTGTTCTGGCATTTAGTAAAGGTTTTGATTTAAAATTTTTATTAGCAGTTAAATAATTACCAGTCCATATGCAGGGGAAAGCCACCTCTTTTAAACCCAAATATTGGCATTTTTACTAGAGTTTAAAAGATCTTAGATATTATAAAGACTAATTTCTTAGTTCATAGATTAGGAAATTGAAGCCAACAATGATTAATTGCCATCTACGTAGCTGGTACTATGATTTCTAACACAACAATGAAAAACAAGTCAGCTAATTGAAATAGGATAATTATTAAATAGTTAAAAAGTTGTAGGTGCTTTCAAAAGAGGAGTTGATCCTGTTCTAAATCATAAGCTTTTTATCAATTTCCTACGTGTATAACTTCAAACTACCAACCTTACCCAGGTGGAAGATTTGTAATCAAATTAAAGGCAATGTTGAAAACTCTAAGGAACCGAAGTTGTTGAATTCCAGAAGGGATTGTTTTGATAGGATTGTTTCTCAGGATCAGTATTTGTAAATATTTCAGGCAAAATATCTGAGGAACAGAAAGGAAAAACAAACATGAGTAGAACAATAAAGTATGCAGATTTCTATTTGTTACATTGTATAAACCCTTTGACCTAATGTAGTAGAACCAGTATAGTCACATTAATTGTCTGTATTGCATATCTCAAATACCTTTGGAAAGTCTTCAAACTTAACTGACCAGCATAATATGCATGACATGTAAAATAGTGCAACTACTGTATTCATATACCCTTGACTCAAGATTGGTCCCTTTCTAAATGGGAAACTTATCCTGTTTGACCAACCCCCGGTTTCGTAAGAGGTGATTATGCAAAGAATGAGGGAGGAAGGAGGTATCTGCAGAACAAGAAAAATAAGTGGAATTAACCTTAGTAATCAATGGGGTGTCAGATATCCTAGCCAGATTGTTTCATTCTCATATTATAGTAATTTCATATACACTGATTTTTCATATACAATTTAAAAATAGAATATATCATTTAACGCGAGGATCTTTGTTTAATATATTTCTTGCTCTCTGGTGAATCTTAACAAGGTCTTACATTAGCTCTAAAATTGGTGAACTAGGCTGTGCTTATTTTGCAATCAGAAGTGTAAGTCCTCTGAGTTTGTTTTCCCTTTTCAAGGTTGCTTTGAGTATTTGGAGTCCCTTGCATTTCCTATTCTCAGCTTGTCAAGTTTTATTTAAAAAAAGCAAGTTGTAATTTTCATAAGGATTGCAATGAATCTGTAGATCAATTTGGGATTATTGCCCTCTTAAAAATATTAAGGCTTCAGATCCATGAACACAGGATGTCTTTTCATCTAAGTATGTTTCCTTTGATTTCTAATAATGTTCTGTAGTTTTCACAGTAAAACTTTTGCACTTTGTCAAACTTACTCCTAAATATTTTATTTTTTCATGTAAGGAAAATTTATTTGTTAATTTATTGTCCAGGCTGTTCATTGCTATTTTTTTTAGAACTACAATCGGATTTTTGTATATTGATCTTGTACACTACAATCTTGCTGAACTCATTCATTAGTTCTAATATAATTTCCGTGAATTCCTTAGGATTTCTATCTATAAGACATGTCATCTACAAGTAGAAATCATTGAACTTCCTTTTTTAATTTGGATACCTTTTATTTCTTTTTCTTGCCTTGCTGCCATGTCTAGAAAGTCCATACAATGTTGAATACAAAGTGGCAAGAGTAGACATCTTTATCTGGTTCCTGATCTTAGGAGGAAAACGGAAGTCTTTCACGATTAAATATGATATGAACTGTGGGCTTTTGTAGATTCTGTCAGGTTGAGGACATCACTTTCTATTCCCAGATGTTAACTGTTTTTGTCATGAAAGAATGTTGAGTTTTGTAAAATGTTTTTTCTGTCTCCATTGACAAAACTGTTTAGTTTTTTTCCTCTTTATTAAAATGGTGTCACATTGCCTGATTTTTGTATGTTTATCCAACCTTGCATTTCTGGGATAAATATCGCTTGATCATGGTATAAAATCCTCCTTATGTGTTGTTTTGCTAGGATTCTTTTGAGGATTTTTGCATCTCTATTTATGAGAGATGTTGCTCTGTAGTTTGCTTTTCTTTCCAAATCTTTGTCTAGTTTTTTTTCTGATTTACTAGTTTGAACTGGGAAGTTTTTCCTTGTCTTCTACTTTTTGGAAGAGTTTGTAAAGGATTAGTGTTAATGAGTCTTAAAATGTTTGGTAGAATTCATCAATGATGCTGTCTGGTCCTGGACTTTTCTTTGTGGGAAGTTTTAAAATTACTATTGAACATTTTCCTTTTTTTATAGAGCCATTTAGATTTTTTATATCTTCTTGAGTCCATTCTTCTGTCTTTCTAGGTATATGTCTATTTCATCAAATAGACATATACCTAGAAATTTGTTTACAGTAATTTGTGGTATTCTCTTAAAATCTTTTTTATTTCTGTGAGGTTGGTAATAATGTGCCCTCCTCCATTTCTAACTTTAGTAACTAGAGTCTTCTTTTACCTTGGTCAGTCATGTAAACTTAGTAAATTTTTCTGATCTTTCAAAATATAAATTCTTGGTTTTGTTGATTTTTCTCTATTGTTTTTCTATTCTTAATTTCACTAACTTCTGTACTAAATTATCTCCTTAAAATAAAAAGTCAACACATCAAAATTTATGCTCTTTTTAAAATAATGGCTTAAGATAAAAGGGTTAGGCTATTGATTTTTCTTTTCAGTTATTAAGTTTTAAATACATTCCACTGTGGCCAAAAAATACTTTCTGTGATATTCAATTGTTTCAAGTGCACTGAGATTTTACTTTGTGGCCTAACAGATTGTCTATCCTGGAAACTGTTCTGTGTAAGTTTGAGAATTACGTATTCTGCTGTTATTGGTTGAAGTGTTCCATAGATGTCTATTATGTCTAAGTGGTTTACAGTGTTATTCAAGTCTTCTATTTCTTTGCTGATTTTCTGCTAAGTTGTTCTATCCATTATGGAGAGTGGGATATTGAAGTTTATAACTATTGTTCCTGAAATTATTCTTCAACTTCTAACTGCTTTTTTCAATTATTTCAGTTTTTATATTCTGGGGCATGTGTGTATATGGGGCATATTCTGTTTTTATATTCTGGGATGGATATATATATCTTGATTGATTGACAAAATGTCCCTCTTTAGCTCTAGGAATCTTCTTGTTTTAAAATCAATTTTGTCTGATATTTGTATAGTCACTCCAGCTTTCTCATGGTTTTTCATTGCATGACATATCTGTTTCCATATTTTACCTCTGAACCCTTTGTATTTTTTTTATCTTAAGTGTATCTTCTATATAGAGCATGTCATGGAACTTGATTTATATTCAGTTTGACTGTCTGTATCTTTGGATTGTTTGATGTATTCACATTTGATGTTATTATTGATGTGCTGGATTTACATCACCATTTTACATATAGTTCATATAGTTTTCTATATGTCATATTCTATTTGCTCTTTCTTTACTGTCTTTACTTACATCAACTAAATATTTGCTAGTATAATATTTTAATTACTTTAATGATGTTTTACCCTATTTTCTTGAGTTGTTTTTTTCTTTAGTGATTGTTTTAGGGGTTGTAATATACATCTAATTTATCAGAATCTACCTTAGATTTATACTAACTTAATTCCAGTGAGTATGGAAATGTTCCTAAATAGCTCTATTCCCTATTCCTTTATTTTTGTCTGCACTACAATTGTTATATGTATTATATTCATACATGTTACAGACATAACAACACATTATTATTATTATTATTTTTAATGTTCATTTATTCTTAAATACTTGTGCAGAGCTGATTTCAGGGGTTAGGAATATACCATAATCATGAAATAATGATCTCATCGTGGAGGGCTTAAAAAGCAAAACCTCGGGAAAAATTACCATCTTTTAAAAGAATTGTAGAAAAATAATAAAAACCAGGTAGCAGGTAATTTGTGATCAGAGACAAAGCCATGAGGAAACACCCAAGCGCACAGTACATGGGTGAAGGAAGAACACTTAGCCTCCTGGAACTATGATCAAGGTAGAGAAGAGACGCTGTTCTAACAGGTCACTTCGGTTCCTGAGACATAGGAGCAGCTTCCAGGTGACGAAAGTGAGCTGACCTGCCTACACAGGAGGGAAGAAAAGAAAACAAAATGTATGGAAAAAGTTCTGGGGCAAGAGCTTATTAGCTAGTCTGAAAAAGATCCAAGAAAAAATGTCCTAATTTTGGACACATCAGAGAATGCACATTCAAAAATGAAAAAGGAACATTTAGAAAATAATTTTAAATTTCTTTAACTGCTGAATGCCTCTTTGGCTAGTATTTGCAGGATCGCTATTTGCCCCTCCAACAGACGTACTTTTCCACTTCCTCACCTTTTTGTTTGCAAACCACCTAAAAGCTTTATTCCCTCTGTTGAACATTGTTCTCTTTGACATATTACCAGAATGGACCCCATGCTTTAATCGGACAGGATAATGTTGAAAAGTGGGAATATTTTAGCAATTTTGTAAAAGGTATTATTTTTTCTTCTGTTATGAAGCTATTTCTAACAGTGTCTAAAGACACGGTCACGGCCGCCTGAAGCGGGTCTTCCTTTCTCCAGCAAACATCGCCGGGGCCACTGCCGGGTGCTCCTGAATGGGTGGCTGGCGTTCCACACGGGCGTGGGAGCTGTCCTCATGCGCCCTGCTGCTGCCGCTGCCGCTGCTGCAGCTGCGCTTTTCAAAGGAGGTTTCTCTTCTCTTATGCAGCTCTTCTGAGGTAAGACGCGTGCCTGGAGTCTGTGGGGCATCTTGGGATGTACTTCTGGAACTGCCTTGCACACTGAGCTGAATGCCTGGCTGAGATCCGCTTCTCCAGCGTCCACGTCACTCCCTTGGTGACTTAGTGCCAAAGTCCGTTGCAAATCCTCCTCGTCTTTTCCCCCGAGCCTTCTGACCCATCGTTTGCTTCTAAGACTTGTTCCCGGTGTGGTTTCTGTCTCTGTCCTTTAGTTGTGCTCTTTCTTCTTTAATAAGGATCGGTCGATGCATCTCTTGGACCCTGGTCATCCGCAGGAGTGGCTCAGCTTCCCGGTCTGGCAGATCGCTCTTCACAACAAACACAGAACCACCTTCCTGTTGTGACTGAGGCAAAAAAAAAAAAAAAAGATGCAAGGTATGTGTCTGATATTACTTCTGCTCCGTCAAGAGAGAATTCATGTTGAACCACGGTTTTCTAATTTTCTAACTGTAAACCAGTGTGGTTTATAATTGCATACAAATGATCTTCCATTGATGGGGTCAGTCCTGGGCGTCTGATACACTGGACTATTGAGCAGGATTTGTTCTAACCCCCAAACTTTCAAGGTATTGCTTGTAATTTGAATAGAGAGAAACCACTATTATCCATATTTCCAGAAAGCCACTGTAAAAACGTGCCATTGTCTTCACTCGTAACCCTCCCTTCTGCCATTCACACCCCCTCTTCTTCATCTCGCTGATGTGCAGTAGGAGGTAATTCCACAGAGTGGAAACAGTCTTCCTGCAATAGATTCAAGCAACGTTGAGCACAGAGTGAAACTTCGTGTTTCTTGTGGAAGATCAACACTACATTATTATAACTAACTCCTACTGTTTATGTGTTTTAAAGAATCTGAAATTAAAAAAGTAGATTGAGTATACATTTATAGGGTTTGTTATATGAACCTTCTTATTTGCTATTTCTGCTTCTACCTCTTCTTGTCTAAAACTATGTTAATAGACTCTGTCTTCTGCAAGGTCTACCATCTTGAGTTTTCCATGCCACTTGCAATCATTCCCATCAGCACATTTATAGCAGCCTCTGGTCTCCTACGCGTGGCATTTACTCTATGCCCATAACTAGGCATCATTAGCCTACGCCCAGGACAGCCCTTCTAAGCCTGCGTGTTACCATCCTTGTTGGAATATTTCATCTGGAGCCATAGAACACTGGTCTGTATTTTATTTTACTTTTTGTTGATTTAGAGAGAGAGACAGAGACAGAAACACATCAGTTTGTTGTCCCGCTGATCCACGCATTCGCTAGCTGTTTCTTGTATGCGCCCCGCCAGGGATCGAAGCCGCAGCCTCGGGGCGTCAGGATGGCTCTCTGGCCAATGGGGCTACCTGGCCAGGGCAGCTCAGATCTGCATTTTAATGAATGACAAATTCTATTGATTTCTATCACTTCAAAAGATGGGCACTTTAAATTTTGCATCTGAAAAAACTTTCTTGTATTTCTACATTTTATTTTAGTGGGTAGAGAATGCTTTGGCAGACACACAGCCTTATCTATGACTAGTTAGAAAGAAAAGTTAAAATTAACATGGAGAAAAAAGACCCCTATATTCCTCGGGAACTCTGGTCCATTTGTTCTAGTCAAATTTATAAAACTGTTGTGAGGTATTAGAAAAGTAACTCTTCTAGTGAAAATATTATATTACAGAGACATTATGGAAAATATATTTCCAGTACTATTTATTTGAAATAAAAAGGGAGTCAATGTGCTAAAAATAAATTCACCAAAAGTCAATATCCTGGAAGTCAGTTCACAGAACAACCAAGCACCCAGTGACCAGTGAAGAGCTGCAGGAAGACTCAGGAACCGTCACCTGTCCTGACTCCTCCTAATGACCCACTTATTTAAAATGACAATGAATTAGCTCATTCCCATGTGTGATTATTCTAGATGTGCTTTAATATTCTGCAGAATATCCTATTTTGACCGATGATAACTAAAACTTGTTACAGCATTATATTACCTGGTCCCTAAACTTTGTTGTTAAAGCTTCTGATTAACACCTGAAGAGGTTTATTTTAGGTTTTATGCAGAGTGAGAGAAATAATTTTCTATACACCAAACAATTATGAGAACATACTTGAGAGTCTGACTAGAACACGAGCCTTTGAGGATCATGGCATGGGACTTCCTAAGACAGATGGGCTGTCCTTTTTGTAAGCTTTTTTGGATGCAATCCAGAATATATTTACTTAAGAGTAACTTCAGGGTATCATGTCTCTATATTTTATTATAATTATTATTCATAATAAAAATTATTCTCATATATACAAAAATAAAAATGGACTTACTTGTGTAGGAAAGGAACTGATACTATTAAATGATAAGTTAAGATATATCAATTGGAAAGCCAAGGATGTTAAGTCTGGACAATCCATGATAAAGAAACCCTAAAAAGAAAGTGACAATAGATAAGAGGTTATCAACAATGTACAAAATATCTTATACGAGATTTAAAAATCTCATATTCTGAATGACAGTGGTTACATAATAAACTGATAAGCCTATAGTCACCTTCCACTCATTCATTTTAGTCTGTCATGATAATAATTTCTTAAATATGTAAAAGACAGAAACAAAATAGAAACACTAGTAAGTGTTAATTGTATATAATAAATATAGACACGCGTCTGACAGGCACTTCAATTAATAATGAGCAGACATTTTATCGAATGTTCACTACCTGTTAGAGTATAAATAATTAAATGTATTTTATATTTAATTTTGTTTTTCACCACCTTGGTTTTTTCATGTCTCCGCTTCTGCAGCAGGAGAGTAAGAAGGCAGGAAAATTCCTTGGCGAGTGGAACAGGGAAACTGAGACAGACCGTTGAACAGAGTAGACTCCCCCAGCACCCCGACTCCCTCCCTCACAACCCCATTCCCTTAAGCATTAAGCAGTGACTAGTGACCCCCAACCCAGGAGAGAAAATGATCCTGCAAGGACCCACATGAAAAGCTGATGAATATTCATTCTACTGAGATCCTCCCAGCCTCCCAGACCGCCCCTAAAATTCCGGCCTTTCAAACTCAGATAAAAGGCCTTAAGACAAAGGACCCAGTGCGTGTGTGTGCAGGCTGCCCCCACCCCCAACCCCCCAAGCATGCTCCCACCTGTTCCCACCTCTTTCCTCAGGCGTATATCTTTGCTTTTCTCTCTCCTAAGCTCTGAAGGTTCCCAGGAGAACAGCTCACCTCAGGCTAACTCCCTAAAGCTGTCTCCCACGGTCCTTTTGCCTCTGTAACTTGTTTCCCGAGCCCCCGCAGCCCAGCTGGCTTGCTTCTGCTGCCTCTGCGACTTTCTTTCACAGGGACCAAAGTAGCTACATCTGGGCTCTACTTTCCTTTCTCTTCCCAAAGGGCCGAGGCAACCACTCCCAGGCTCCTTCCTGTGGCTATAGCCTTGGCCCCTCTGTCTTAAGCCCTTCCTTTGTCTCACTGTCCCCAGTGTTAATGAACGTGCCCTCAGAATCACCTGGGCCCTGGCCAGGTGGCTCGGTTGGTCAGAGCATCACCACATACACCGAAAATCATCTGGACTCGTGTTGTGAAATCTTTCCTGCACAAAGGTTAGAATGGCTGCCAACACGGCCACCGCGCATTTCTATTCCTCTGTTAATCTTTCTATTAATCTGACACCTGTATAACACTTCTTGCTTAAATACACCAATTTCTGAACGAGGAGAACTTAGGCCATGGTATAGGCGAAACGTTTGTGTCCTCCAAAATTCCTACATTGAAACCTTAACCCCCGATGCGATGTTTCTGAGAGCCGAGACCTTTGGGAGGTAATTAGGGTCAGAGCGGTCCCAATGGTGGAGCCCTGACGAGGGGCGGGGCCCTTGTAAGAGTCAGAGAGGCCCAGAGCACCTGCTCTGATAATATCATTTTCCCAATACACTGAAAATATTGCATATTTTCTTCCATCTTCAATATTAAAATGACTACACAAAAAGTCACCCATTTTGATAAGCTTTTAAAAACGCACACTGATATGACAGCTGTCACATACAATCTAACAAAACTGTTTCGAATGACGTTAAAGACATCTACGTGCTAGGAGAGCCATCTTACGGGGAAAAAAAAATTTTGGGGAATTATATTGGGTTGGAAATGGTCATATCCAACCCAATATAATTGCGTTGGATATGACCATTTTTAAAAGCTGGAAGGAAGGCAAACTATGGACAGATAGGTTTAGAGATGCAATTTGAACGTGTTCTTGGGAAATCTCTATTGCCACAAGAAAAATCCCTTTAATACTATGCAAACTATCCTAAGTTAGAAAACCTAAAACAAAAATAATTGCTAACACAATAAAAAAAAATGCCATTAAAAAGAGATGCCATACCTTGAGATTCAGTGCATTTCTGCCATGTATTTGACAGTTAACCACTGCGAGGTTGGTCATGTATGCTAGTGTTTCATATTGTATTGCTTTAATAGTATTCAAGCCTTCACCATGTATAACTTTTGCCTCCCTTTCATTTGGTTTTCTAGACTTACTGAGACCTAAAGAAACAAAACAATACATGAAACCAATGTTATCGCTTAGAGTAAAATTTGAAAGGGACTCATGTTATATGCTAACAGCGAGTCATGGTAAAGAGCCACCTGAACATGTACTCTGGGGGCAGAGGTTCCCCACAACCTTTACCCGCCTCATCTCTGTCGGTTCTTTTGCCAAAGTGGGAGCTGTGGCTGCTGTTGTTCCTTTTAATATAATACAGCACAACTGTCTTTCAAAAAGAAAACCGTATGCTCGCGTGTTTCTACCACAATCGTCTGGGTTCCATCAATCTCAGTCTTTCTATACTACATGTAAAAATATTTTAAAATCTTTTACTGTGAATTACATAAGCAACAGCTTGCTGCCCAAAACTCATACAGGACATCATGTAAGCAGCACTCAAGGTAGAAATGACCTCCTGAGGAATGACCTCAGTTTTTTTACTAATATTACCTAGATGCCCGATATAATTCAGCTCTTCCCTCAGTTTCAAGACTCCCACACAAGGAAGGAAAAAGAAGGAAAACACAAGCAACTCAGGAGTGAGCCGAACAGAGAGGACCTAAATTTACTTTAGCATGTTCCTGTAGATTTCACTTTCCATCACAAATAGCCTGTGCTGGGGGCAGGAACAAGGAAGCAGCCAGGGAAAAGAAGAGGGTAACCTATAAAGGAAATCCCCTTAGATTACCGTCAGATTTGTCAGCGGAAACCCTACAAGCTAGGAGAGAGTAGAATCAAATATCCAAATTATTGAGAGAAATCACCAGCCAAGATAACATATCCAAAGAAGCTATCCTTGAGATACGAAGGAGACACGGGCTTTTACAGACATGTAGCAGCTGAGGGAATTGACCTCCAGAAGAACATTACACATAATACTGAAGGGGGCTCCTCTATCTGATACGAAAAGACAAAAAGATACAAAACTACAAGCAAGATGAGTAACAGACAGACAGAAGCAGGAGATGGCAACTCTTGTTTGGAACAGGGGTCAAATGCTTAAATATGACATAAAAGTTAAAGGAGGTAAAAACATTGCTAAAAAAAGAAGACAATAGCGACTACAATTTAGAAACAATCTCACAGCATAAAACGAGATCATTTGTGACAATAAAAATGTAAAAGGGGAGGCAGTAAAAATCTGATTTTACGCCAGTGAATGAGATGCAATGGGAGGAAAAAGGACTATTGTATATGTGAAACTTTCTTTTGCATAAACTTAATGATAACCACAAAAATATCTAACACTGAAACACACAACATAAAAAAAGAAATAGAGGAAACATCACAGAAGACCATCAAACTAAAACGAACAAGAAGAAGCACAAGGGAGAAGAAACAATGAAGAAGGAGTGACACCAGAAAACAAGGATAAAGTGGAAACCCCCCTGTGTCTGCGATCGCCCTCCATGGACTGAACCAGCCAATTAAAAGGCACAGAGCAGTGCGTTGCGTCAAAAAACAGAACCCAGCTCCGTGCCCCCTACAGGGGACACATCTCAGCTGCAAAGGCACACACAGGACAAAGGGACGGAGTGGAAAATGATGCTCCAAGAGAAAGGCATCCAGAGAAAAGCAGGCGTGACCATACTTCCATCTGACAAAACAGATTTTGAGACAAAAAAGGGAAGGACAGAAAAAGATGGGCATTTTGTAACGATAAAGGGGACACTAGCTCAAGAAGAAACGACACCTTCCCATGTTATATGCACCCAACATGGGGGCACAAAAATATGTACAGCGACTCACAGAGCTGAAGGGAGAAACTAACGGAAACCTAATTATAGTAGGGGACCTAAATACCCCATTTACAGCTACACATAGACCATCCAAATAGAAAAATCAGTAAGGAAATGTAGGTCGTACGTAACCTGCGAGACCTAAAGGGCGTCATCGATGAGACAGAGCTCTTCATCCCAGAACACCGGAATATACATTTTCTTCCAGTTCACAAGGAACATCCTCAAGGAGAGACTATATGCTGGGACACAAAGCCAGCCTCAGCCAAGTTTAAGAAGATTGAAAGCACCCCAAGCAAATTCTCTGAGTATAATGCTTTGAAATTGGAAATCCAAAAGAAAAAAGTGGCAAAACACACAAGTGGAGATAAAACAATATACTACTAAATAGTGACTGTGTCAAAGAAGAAATAAAAGAAGAGATAAAGAAGCTACATAAAGACAAATGAGTTCATAATATGACATATGAAATTTTGGGGATACTCAAAAGCAGTAATAAGAGGGGAGTTTATATATCATGACAGCCCTACCTCAAGGAACAAGAAAAATCTTAAGTATATATAACCTGGCGTATTTAAAAAATAAATTTTTATTAGCTTCTGCTGAGTAGCTATGGTTAAAACAGCGACTGGTAGATGGCCGGTAGCTAAGTCGCATTACTGCATGTGTGTATGCCCACCCCACCCCCTGCATTAAGACCACTGCAGCATCTATGTTTGCAGCCTCGATACAAAGTGTGTTCCTAGTCCATACTTAAAAAATAGCCACTGAGTTTGGAAAAATAAATTAATTAATTTTTTAAAAAGCCACTGAGTAAATGGTTTAAATGAGGCGAGACATATGTGTGAGTCACACACACACACACACACACACACACACGAAAGCACACAAAACCACGAATATTTTTATAGAGAGGCCCTCTCACATACGGTTTTTTATAAGAATGGCGTAAGCCGAGCATTTACCTTCATGTCGGGCTGACGTGCCCTGTCTTAGAACACCTTCTAGATTTTCATTTTCTGCTACCTGCATTTCTAGAAAAAAGAAGAAGAAACGGGGCATCGTTTGGACACCTGTGAAAATTCACACGGAGGCTGTTGGGGTTTCGCTCTAACTGTCTGCCTTGTGATGGACTGGGAGCATCCACGGCACCCTGCCCTCAGGGGCACCCAGTAGCATGGACGCTCTGCTTCCAGACTTCATCTCGATGACCGTCTGAACGACTGTTCCTTCGCACTGACCCTTTATGGTGGACTTTCTGACCCTGTGAACCCCCACCCCGTTCTCGCTCCCACGGCCACCCTGCGGGCGGAGTGCCCAGTTCGGCCTCAGCAGACCCGCAGGGTCCAGACTTCCGCCACTGCATTCTGGACCAGACATTAAATCTACAGGCGAAGAGCCACTTCACCATCCTGCTCTGCACACTTAAAGGGGACACCATCTGCTTGCATGCGCTTTGCTCTTCTTGACCCCTTTATTACGTACTATGTTCAGAATGGATATACCTATTGCAGACTGTCTTTGAGGTTTTCTTGGTAAAACTGGTGCCGGTAGGAAAATAGTCCCAGGAAATTGAGTGATATTCAGTAGAACCATGTTTGGTTGTAAGTGGCCGAAGCGCTGGCTTTTCACTTGAGCAGGCGTAACTCTTGGGAGAGGTCTTGGTGCTGCTGCACCGCCATCTATCAGAGGGCGCTTGTAAGTAAAGGTCCTGCTCTTTGATACAGGCAAATGCGGTGGGCGAGCTCCCTCGGGTTTGAGAGTGGGGGCTAGGGAAGAGGCGTCCGAGGGTTGGGAGAACTGGGAGGAGAGAATCAGAATATCTTTGAGCATGTGGTCAACATAAATCTTTTTTATTTTTGAGGGCTCTCCTGGTTTTCTTGATCTTGCCTTTCGCTTTGTTTCTTTCCCATACACTCGACTAGAAGCTGAATGACAAGTTGGAAAAAACATGACACCAGTAGCAGTCTCTGGAATGTGCCAGGGACCAGGCTTAGGAGGTTTGCGGGGTATTGAAATAGCAGCCCCTCTTTTTTCTACATGATAATCGAGAGAGAGATTTTGGATACTGATAGGGGTTTGCAGTTGCTTTCTTGAAACATCAGGAAAATTAGTTGTATCTCTTTCACTTAAAGTGGTTTTATCTTGAGTAAACTTCACATGTCGTGGCTCAAATTTAACTGCCTTGGCTAAACCAGAAAAAGAAAAAAATTAGTATAATTAGATTAAATGTATCAAGGTATCAGGGACAAAACTATAACGTCTTACCATGCATAGCTTTGCTTTATTCACTCACCCTTCTCTCACCTCCAAAAAATATTTCTGTATATACTTACCTAGCTATCAGAACTTTTGTTTTGCTGACTGAGATAAAGTTTGAACGAGTAACTGGAGAGGTGAAGTGGCTCAGCTGCATTAGATTTATGAAGGGTAGGGAGCCTACTCTTGGGAAAAATAGAACTGATAGCAAGAAGAGTAAAAGAGATTTTTGAACAGTTGCTACTAGAACTCTGGCTGTTTGGATGGGGAAAAATAATTTTGATGAATGGTTGCTATTTATCATCATCTCTTCCTTTTTTTGAAACTCCTTGAGCAAAGATTGTATTTCTTTTCAATGTCAGATGTCAGACTGATGTGTCTTTTGAACAGAGCACTCTGATACGGGCTACAAGGTACCACAAGTTCACTGAGGCTACAGCAGCGAGTATTCTTTCCTCTCTTAGGTCCAGAAAATGCACTGCACCTATATTCTGAGGTACCTCACTATATCAAGTATGTTTTCTTTCCTATGTGACAGAATGTTAAATGACAGTTCTCTTCTATTGTCTCAGCTGAGTACAATAAATGATGAGGACCTCTACGTTCTAATAAGAAGATAATAGATTCATGAAGGCAAGACTTGCAAAGAGATGGCCAATGCAGGTGTAACCCACCCACCTGTTGTCTATACGCAAGAGATGACTAGAGATCGATCAGGGTTCAGAGAGAGGATTTCTTCTGATTAATGCTATTGGAGTGCTAATTGTTTCTGCGATCTTTCAGTCCCCGTGGTGGGTGGAGGAAGCTAATGTCCCCCCATTGCAATCCAAGCGAGGGGGAATTCTCAGAAAACCTTTGCTAGAGAACAGGAGGATATGCCACCAGGAGACAATAATGTCTCACCAGTCCCCTACCCACCTCCCCTACTGATGTCTACAGAGTGACAAAATTATTGGCTTACCCAGTGTTGTGTCCAAACTGGAAGAAAGGCAAGGAATCCTTGAAATTCCTTGACCCGTATTTGCTGGCATTTCAGGAGGGCGCAGCGATTGTTACCTGAGCCTCACCTTAACTCTGACCTCCTGGACTCTCTGCCACTCCTAACTCCTCCACCTATCGAGGCACCAGGAACTAGCCCTTTGAGAACAGAAGTTAAGAACACAAAGTGGAAGAACATCATGCCTTGGTCCGTCCCTGCCATTGTTTGGTTTAGAGTAAAGACAAGGATCAAAAGCCAGTGATCTAATGCAGTTCTGCTGTTTCAGAATAGAAAGATGAGGTCCATTGGCCAAACGACTTGCTAAGGCCATACATCACAATAGTGTCGGAGCGGAAACCAAAATTCATATCCCTGGACACCCATTCTAGGGCATTTTGCAGTATTCCTGGTTGCTGCAAGTCAGTACAAAACTGTGGGCCAAGTATTCCAAATCTCACAACATTTACAACTATCGAGTCATTTTAGAGTTGCTTAAGTGCTTTCACACAGGCTATTGCAGGTTAACCTTCTCATAGTTAAGTGATCAAAAAAAGAAAAAAGAAAACCCCCAGATTTTCCCTTCTGTTTTTCACTGCCATCATCCTAGCCTCCATTGACCTAACTTTCCCCTTGACTTTCTGGCATAGCTTTATTAGTGTTTTCATCAAATTATCGGGATCTTATTAATGACAAGTCAGATGTATTAGTTTGGTAAAAAGAAAAGAAAAGAAGACTGTGAGAACTAGATCCATTTGTCCTAACCTTGCTGTGTGATGACTTGTTACTTTCTAGTGAGAACGCTTCCACACTCTAATTATCACTGACAATCCCAAAGGCCACACCATTCATTGATAACCTCATCTCTTATGTTGAGCAAACTGTGTGGAATACCTTTCCTTGCTACCTAATTTAAATCATTCTCTTATTTCACAGTTTACCTTAAACCTTACGCAGTCCGTCTTCCTTGATTAATACAACCCACACTTAGTGTTCTTATTAATTAATTCAACAAACATGCAACGCCTACCACGTCACAGCTGTACACAGGCACGGTCACACAGAACTACCCTTTCCACGATCAAAAACCTCACCATGCAGTATAAACACTGAGGAGGAAAGAACTGTTTAGGAAAATCTTCCCAGTGAGGATGATATGTCTTCTCAATTCCATATGTCCTTATTTTTTTTTTTTGACACAGTTACCCATGATTTCTTTTCTATCACTTTTTTTTAAAATATTGAGTTTCTACTTTACCAATAGACTCCCCTTTGCCACCAAAAACTACATGGGTCTCTTCTATCAATAAACCTATTTCATTCCACGTTTACTAATTCTTCAAGTCTTAGGCCAAGTACCATTCTTGCCCTCATGCTTTCTCACATCTAAAAACTGCTACTGTTTGTACTGTGAATAGGACAGTACAGCGTGAGAGCTGAAACGAGAAGGCAGAACACAGCCTGTTCCCCCTCAGCTGGGAGTGTGTGTTTTCACTGCCCTGAGCATGTGCAGAATGACTGAGCAGCATCATATACGTACCATATGCACCCCTCCCTTGCACCGTTTCACCTAATGCAAAGGGAGGGAGAAAGAGCTCTGTAGGTTGCCCTGCAGTGTGCTTCATGATGCATCGCGGAGTAAAAAAGACAAAATACAGAACGATACTGATTTGAAGGTTACGAATCAATTTTAGCAGTTAGGTAAAGTTGTACCTACAGGATCCACAAATAATGAGAAGCGACTGTATTTGTAAGAATTAAATTGGATGCTATCAACTTACAACAAGCATTTCTCCGTTACCACTTATCCGTGTCTTTAACGATTGTGACTCTGAGCTGTGCAGGTTGAGAACTTTCTAGGAAAAAATAGTTAATGACATATCTGATTAACATACATACCTGTACGGATTCTCTTACATGCAGGCAACTTAGGGGGTTTTGCAGGTAAAGGTCTTCGAAGAAGAAGTTGTGGGTGGTTTTGCATTTTAATTAACAATAAGTACCATTCCTCATAGTTATTAGGTAAGAACTGGAGAGCTTTTGAATGTGTCTGAATTGTTGCTGAAAACTAATTCATTTGAATCTAGATTACATCTTCATGAAAATCATTCCAGGTTAATACTACGCTGAATCCAAGCAGAATTCCTATAAAAGAAAAACAGGGTAAGAAAAGAAGTCTTCAAAACCTCTAGAGAGAATCTAGGTAAAATGCAGGTTTATAATGAATACAGCATTTTAAAATACATATGCTATTGCCGATCATTCTAAAACTCCCCTTGTCAGCAAAAAGTTCAATCTTCCAGGGCTCTCCCCTAGTAAATACAGAACAATAGAAAGGGCACTCGCTTTTCTCTCTACCTCCAAAACGGTATCAGTCTATCGATTTGGAAAAAGGTTTCAGTCAAAAGATGAGAAAGCTCCCCATGCATGACAGCCCCCCAAAGACCCACAATATCTAACATAGGAGCTGTTTTCTTTCTGTAATAATGACTAATTTTAAATTTCAACCACTATAGCTGGGCCATAACCATTTAATAACAAGCCTCAAGCCTTGTTATTAAATAAGCCTCAAGTACAAGGGTTGAGGCAAACATAAGACGGCCTTCGGTGTAATGGGATTTTTCCAGGACTTCTGTTCCACTTAGCACTGTTTAGAAATGACGCCAGAAGACAGACCCCCAAAATGCGCGCTTAGTTTTCAGGGCAGCATCAAAGTGACCGCTGCATCCATATTCCGTTGACAGTCTACAAACAAACGCTTTGGAGCTGCGAAAGTGGGCTGTTTCATCTCCCGAAAGCTAACTGTGCCCGTAAACGCTCAAGGTGC